TTTTTTTCATCCCGTGGTTGTCGACATTCGATAACCAACCAATATTGAGGTAAGTACAACTTCTACAAGGGATTGAAAGCTGTTTTAGAAAAGTAAAAGTGCTGAGGTGAATCATTAAATTGTAATGAAATAGGTAAGTGCAAGTATCATTAATAAATGCATTAATAAAGGAAACTCCCTAGGCTGACAACGTTCATTTGCAATGTATAATGCTACACGTATATCTCGTACTATCATGATGTCCACTTTTGGTTTTAATACATTTATCCTCAGTTGTGCCAGTTGTTTTTGTTTTATACCTTTTTGTGCATTTAGTGCACAACCGTACCCTTCAGAGAGTAGAAATATAATAAGTCATAAAGAGCTGTAAAATGTTAGGTTTAATGGGATATAATGAGGATCAAGTAAAGACGTTATTGGAAAATGAATGAGATAAGACATTGTGAAGTGGTATTTAAAGATCAGTCAATGGACAGCAAGTTAGTTTATAAGATGCCCCATAAAACTGTGCACATCCCACATGGTCGCATCTCAACAATAGGCTGGGCGAATAGTATATATTTAGAGGTAGAAGCATGATCTGTCAAGGCGTTCATTATTATCTTTTTCAAGATAAAGATCTAAGCCCTCATAAAAATCAAAAATATCTCGAGCCTTTAATTTGTATATTGCTGTTCCTGCAGAATGGGGCGATTCACCTTAGTGACCCCCACCATATCTACTGATCTGTTGGTGCGAGATATTAGAAAACTGTGTCTACTGGAAGGTGCTGAGAGTCGAGAGTCGGAGGATGAACCACTTGACGATTTTCCAACCTAGAGCGTCAACCTGAGAAGGGTTGTAGGCGTACTGCTGTAAGTCCTACAATTCTTCAAAGGGTAGCGCATCAATGAGCAGTCCAATGTGCTTGGTGTGTGATTTCGTACATATGTTCATATTGTATATACTGAATTGATATCATCTGTCATCTAGCTGTTGGTAATTCTGTTTGTGTCCGGACGACTTCCACTTGGATCATCAACCTGAGAAGGAATGTAGGCGTACTGCTGTAAGTCCTACAGTTCTTCAAGGGTAGTTGGTCGTGTCAGAATCCACAACATTTTATGTGTTGATTGTACATATGTTTGTGTTAAATAGCTGTGTGAGTTCCAATTATTGTAATTGTTGGTTAATCTTGTGTGTGTCCGGACATTCCACAACTTACAATCGTCAGCGTGAGAAGGGTTGCAGGTGTACTGGTGTAAGTCAAACTAATGGGTGAACTCAAATATTCTGTTTCCTTCCGCAATACCAAATTCACAGGAATTTGTTACGTCACCAAGAGTGATTTAAATCTTTTGGGACTTGATTGGTTCGATCGTTTGCATCTGGCTGATGTCCCACTAAATTCGCTATGCAATGCAGTCAAGAAGCATAAAATGTCAGACAGTTCCGGACGAAACCAAACCTGCAAACCCAACAGGCAGACGAAACGACAGACGTCAACAACAAGCCCAAAGGTTCCAGATAAACCCCCAGGTAAACATCCTATTAATCATCAATCTTCTCAAAAGGGGAGGTGATATGTATCCACATGTATATATGTGTGTGTATGGTGATCTCTCTTTCTGTTTGCTTGCTTGGTCTGTGACTATTTCACTTGATGAACCTGTCTCCGTTAACAATGCATATTCCCCTTATATTATATATAATATGAGTGTTTGTTGATAGTCCGTTGCTTGGTGACATATATCCATATATGGTGGTTGTTGACATGTCTGCTATATTTCGCTATGTATATATGGATCGATACTTCATTATAATTAGCCATTCATGTTAAGACTGTCTATTTATTTGTTCACACACTTGTCTGGACAGTCATATATATATTTCGCTCTCACAATCTTGTGACTTACTTATACTTACTTACTTTGGTGTGATACCACTTTTGCATTCTCCTTGTGTTTGGAAAATAGAAGTATCACCGCAAACCTAGTGGTCTTCTGATTTCCGCCTTCTTGCGTCAGGACTATTAAATTCTCGACCAGTACATAGCAATAATTTGGCGACGAGTACATAACACTCACAACACACTGAGGATGTGAGACTCACGGTCAGCTGCCCATACAGCAATGTGACAGGACTGAGGGGAAAGGTGGGCGAACTCAGAAACCTCCGGTCACACCTGAACCTTAAAATAATCATTCTCTCTGAAACCCGGCTAAACCCAATATCGCCGACAAGAAATCAGTATGGTTCTGGTCAGGAGAGACAGGGATGAGAAGGAAGGGGGGACTGTCATATGCTTTGGCAGGCAACTTAGATGTGTACGCGCAACAGACCCACCACATATTGAGCTCCCAGACTCCATATGGTGTCATTTCACAGTAGGCCACACTAAGCATTTACTGGGTGGCATCTACTAATCACCCACCTGTGTGGTAGACCACAACCAGCTATTGCTCAGCACTATCACAGTGATGCGGGACTTCGACTATGACCAAATCAGTAAAGCTGAGGATTTCAATACCCCATCACTGAACCTTGGCTCGGGGTATGCTAAGGAGAAATTCGGTGGAAATCTACTGCAAACCGTTCAAAATAAAGGACTCACTGAGAAGACCGCACTAGGTGGAGCCCTAGTGGAAAGTCATCAAAACTAAATTATATTCTAACTAGTGATCAATTACTCGTCGAAAAGGCCCAGATCATGACTCCTCCAGGAAGTACTGACCATGATGTCATAGATTCCGTTACTGTTCTCCGTGAGCGCCTGCAGTGAGATGTTACGCGACCATGTGTGTGCTATGACAAAGTGGACTATGCTGAAATGCGGAGGCTTTTATCCGACGCAGATTGGACCTTGGCATGGGATGAGTTGTCTGGGGATGAACACTGGGGAGTGGTAAAAGGGGTCGCTCGCACAGCGATCTCAGATACCGTCCATCTAATCACAGTGCAACCAAAGAAAGGATTTTCATGGCTGTTGAGGGTCACGCAACACTTTTTTGCAGGCAAAACTGAGAGCTTAGTCTACTTAGCGACTATCCAAGTAACACTTAATATGTGGCACACCCAGAATTCAGGAAATGGTGCACCACTTGGGTCCAGAGTGATTTCAGGCCTCGTCAGAATAATCCTGACGAACCCTAGAGTCCTGTATCAAGTCCCAGTGATTTTGTCGAAGTACTGTTATAATCCATTACATAACTACCTTGACCCTTAATGAAGCAGAAACCTGCCCCTTTCATTCGTATTGTTTGCTCCCAGAAAGTCCAGCTGTTGTGTTAAAAAATAAACAGCGACAAAAGTTTGGGGAAGACTATATTTTTATTTAAAACGTCACAGTTTCCGTTTAATTGCCGATATGGTTAGCATGATAGATTTCAAATATATATCTTCATTCCTAAAGCTCTATAACTCCGTGTATATATCTTCTAAATATACTCTCAGTGATAGTATCCGCTTCTTTTCATTTGGAGTTCGCTGCCCCTATAGTTCCTTACTAACAACTTAGATTATTGGGTCTTTGGTGAAAAGCTTTGAGCGGAGTTTGGATAATAATAATCACAGCAATGCAAAGACTTTATCCCAATAGACTGTCTTTTTGAAACCCGTATACCGCACCTTGTTGGTGAGGATCATTCAAACTCATGCTTTACTGCTGCTCTTTCTTCCTTGTATCACTTTCAACACTACTTTATCTGTCCATTTGTTTTTTTAAGTCCATATAATTTTGCACTAATCCTATTGCTATTGTTATGAAGTTTACTATCGCCTTCCATTTCGTTCATACCAGATGGCTTACAGGTGGGTTAACTCTATTCACAACAGAAGCACAGTTTTAACGCACGGAATTCAACAAACCACAAGTATCAGTTAGAGAACCATTGAAAACCAGCGAGTACTGGACAGCTGCTGTTTCACCCTAGTTGGGAATCATCGGCAGCATGCACCCACTGAGATTCGAACCCAGGACCTCCGGTTACAAGGCAAGCTCGTATACCATTCAGCCAGTAGGTGCGTACTGTCGTTGATTCCCAAACTAGGATGAAACAGCAGCTGTCCAGTACTCCCTGGTTTTCAGTGGTTCTCTAACTGACATCAACCCGTGATCAACTCGTAAAACCATAACAAACCTTTACAAACCAAACTATAGAAAACCACAAGTAACCAAATTCCGTACTACTCCACTCGTAATCAATCAAAGAAACCCCAATCAGGTGGCAAGATAGACTACGCTGAAGTTCGAAGTAGGTAAGCAACCTTCACTTTAAAGTCAAGAAGCGAAGCCAAAGAAATCAATTTAGTTCACGCTAGTTCTTAAAAGGGATACTAAATTACTGGTTTTTTCACCTAGACATTAATTCCTAGAACCCATTTTCAGAAGAAGTTGTGTCTCCGCTGTTAATAGCTTTGTTCAAAAATGCGCTGAGCAGGCGAAGAGACTTGTTGGAGAAGGAGGTAAATCCTTCCACTTACAACCCATTCTTGGATCTGAATATGTAATTGAATGTCTTGAAATCCAGAGTCGATTTTGAACTTCAAGGTTATGGTGACCTTAGGATGATATCCGAGTCTTATGTTTCTAACATAAAGTTGGAATACCAGAAGCTGAGAACTAGGGTTGAGAAACTAGAAAAAGAAAACGGAATACTTGCTGCAGAGCTTGGTAATCGGGAATCAAATTTCTGTGGTAACATTTTATCGTTTGTTGAAAGTTTGTGTTTGAATACAAAATACAGGTGAGTGCATTATTACAACACTATTAGAGTCTTAAGTGATGTATTATTTAAGACGCCAGATGTACTTGTACCGGACATAAATTTGTATTAGATGCCAGGGGCGGGGTTTGGAATGCCTATACAGAAAATGGTGTTGAATATATTGATATAAGAGGTATTACCAGTTTGATTTATATCGTTTTGTCAGCGTACCATCAGAATGTTTGTGAAGCATTGATTTCATGGGCCTACAAAGGCGTTTTGGAAAAGTGTGAGGCTCATTGTTTGTCTAGTCTTATGTTACTCGCAAGAGAATATTGTTTGCCCTGCTTATTGTCACAGTAAGTGCTACTGTTTTTTTATTATTAAGTTTTAGGTGTGAAATCGCCTTAATTCCTCTAGTAACCAGGGAAAATTGCTTGTCCTTGTATTCGGCTTCATATAGTGTGAGGGCCACTCGGCTTATGGATCACTGTTTTATGTTTATATCTGGTGTTTGGGTAAGCTTTTTTTACTATTATTCCCTATATTTGACAGAACGATTTTTCAGCAGAAGAAATTTCCACGATACCTGCACCCGTGCTGCAATCTTTCCTCGAAAAATACTCCAAATTTCCTGTACATTCAGCTATTGAACTTGGAAGGAACGATACTGTTATGTCTTTGCTTGAAGTCAATCATGCTAAGGTATCTTTTCCTTATTAAAACTAGTCACTGTCGTTTAGTTTATATTGTAATTTTTCCTAAATGATGGATCTTTCCCACATATTGCCGTAAGAAGTGTATTTTTTCACATTATTGGGCGAAAAAACTGTGCACTTGTTTCCTACGTTTTCAACGTAGCACTACTATGTAAAATTGTTTCTTTAGTAGGGTGAATTGACCTGTAAAGTTTTCTGTAGCAGAGTTTTAATCCCTTGCTTGTGGGATCTCGATTCTAATTTCTTAGTGTTTTACTACTTTGTTTACTTATCGTCATACTTTAGTTCAATGATGTCGTTGTATCCTTTTCAGGTTTAAACCACTCTGAGATATTTTTATATTTTGTGGGATATTACGCAGGGTTCGCGAGCTTTACGGTCCGTACAATAATATTGTAAAATGGTTATCAATTTTCGGGTAATTTCCCGTGGCGTCTGTTTGCTGAATTGCTGTTTATGTAACATGAATTAATATTAATTTTCTAGGCAAAGTTACTGGCAAATCAGTTGAACGACGATGGATTATCTCCACTTTTCATGGCTTTGAAGGCTTCACATTTTGAACTTGCTGAAAAACTTATTGATCTGGGCGCTGATCCAAATGCTCTTATTGGTCCTATAAACCAGCGACAACCTATTACGCAGTTTGCATTCGTTAACAAACAGTATGATGCTGTACAGTTTTTGTTACGCCATGGTTCATACGTAAGTTTTTTAAGATTTAGAATGTCACCGTTTAGTATGAACTTTTAAGATTTTTATAAAGGCGGTTGTATACAAACTCCTAATTTGTGGATGGTAAATGTTACTTGTTAACCCCTGACTCTAATTCACGTAAAAACTTACCATTGTTCAAGATGTTGGCTTCAGTTTTATGCAAACATTCAGCTTTAGGATTGATTAGCCATGAAATTAATGCTACTTGTCTGCCTTGTCGACTTCCGTTGCTGATATATGTCCTCTATTTATAAGTTCTGCATATTTTTATAGAAAACATGTCGTCTAACACGAACAGTTATCTTTGAACTTTGCGGGTATTTTTCACAAGTCATTCAAGGGAAGGTAACTCATTATGCTAGCAACTTGGAAGTAGTGACTACTCACCCACTTTTGACAGCATTTGTGTCTCTAACGCTAACAAGTCTCCCTCGTTATGTTCTATATTTTCATGATAAATTGCAGTAAAGGTATTTCTTGTCTTTGTCAACTTTGCTACCTGGGACAACGATTCTGGCTTTTACAGTGACGTACCTCGTGTCTATGGTATATTTAATATCTGGATTGTAAAAAGTAACCTGCGGAACCATATTGTCTTGTAATTTTTGCTTTTTTATGCATTTAGTCCCAAGTAAAAAGCTGCCAAACTAGTGTCACAGTAGTCTAAAAGTTAAGTGACCTCAACAGCTTTCATATCTGTAGAATTATTGCTTCTTGTTAGAAATGACCGTAATTGCACTTACTCTGACTTCTATGTAATTAAAAATTTTTATTCTTTTCTCATTTGCAATCAAGTGTGACTTCAGTGATCCAACATCCTGTCGTACACTGCTTCATAACCTAGCAGTACTTGGTGCCAGTGAGTTGACTGACTCTGTTATTGATATCGCAAAGACATTACTTCTACAAGGCGCAAACACTTCTTGTCAGGACACAGACGGAAAGTAAGTCTCTTATTCGTAGGATATTTCATTTCGCAGAAACTTTCCATTGTTACTTCTCTAAAGATAATAAAATACCCGTGTTCAAATGTCTTATTTAAACCTTTTCATTGTAAGATATTTGCATCAAAGGTATGGCTTTTATAATTTTGAATTAGTGAGTGAAAAAACTTTATGAACATGTATTTGTATACAATAAAAGGGTGTCGGTGGTTCAGCGTTAGAGCACTCGCCGACCACACACGTGGTCCGAGGTCCGATCTCCGGCAGATGCACGCCTAAACCTCGCTAAGCCGGCAGTAGGTCTGGTAAAGAGGGAAGGTTGGGTGTGAGGCTAGCAACTCCACCCAGTAAAAAGAAAACAATTAATACCGAAACTTTAGAGATCAAAAGGCTTGAAACCCTATGTTTCACTGGGAACCCAAAAGAATAAAATACAATAATTAATAATAAAGTAGAGCGTTAGGTAAGGAGAGAAGATCAATCGATGTGTTTATGAAGCTTCATCGGGCCGGAAAAGAGTGAGGGTGATCACACTACAACATGAGATCAATCCACAAAATGTTCGACTATTAGTTTAAGCCATGTAAGGAGGTGTAGATTTTTAGGACTTGGTGACATGGTTGAAAATCATTCTCAACGATGCAGATGTATTCACTCATTGTAGCACTCTAAACTCGCTGAATTCATATTGCTCTCCGTGAAACTATACGTTTTCCAGTAAATCTGAGCTTATTACGAATTCCTTTGCATTTCTCTCTGTACCTCAACGTGTGGTTTCTTGAATTATGGCAACTTAAACTGGTACAATTTTGTGTAAAGTTCCACATTGAAGATTCAGTCTAGTTCAGATGCCATTAGTGTGACTCACCACTAGAATAAACAGCCCTCACATTGCAAAAGAAGGCTAGTCAATCCAACCGAGACATATCACTGAACTGCACCAGCTCAAGTTGCCAAAGTCCATGTGGCACATAACGGGAAGTCATAAAAACAAAAGAATAATCTAAAAAGTAGTAATATGCGAGATTTTGAATATGTTGCAAACAGTCAATACACTCACAACACTGCGAACGACAGCTGAATAGCTTCTACAGTTAAAATGAAATGAAAACCAACTGTTGGTATTATACTTTACACTGTGAATGAGTTACTTATTATAAATTTTAAAGCATAACTAAACAAAATCCATAAATGGGTCTTTCCCATACGAAAAAATTACATGATTAGAAATATAACTACTGCTACTGAAACTTCAAAGCTCTAGCTTTAAGCTTTATGTTTCAGTGGGGACGTAGAGGAATAAAAATTTTTTCCATATAAAACTACTTTTTTGTAGAATTGAATTTTCTTTGTATCTGAAAACTGAATTTTCAGTACTGTTAAGGTTACTAAGTTATCCCGTAAAAAAAGAGAAACTAGAATTTTTCGAGTTTGATGTATATTTTTTGTATTCCTCAGTCAGTGAAATAGTTTCAGCACTATGTGCTGTAAATCAAAAATTCCCGCTTTTATTATTTTTTTTAGTTCACCACTGCATTTATCCATTTTACACAATAACTCAGATATATTTGAACTGCTTCTTAATTATGTGAAGAAATCTGACTTCGATTTACCAAATAATCAAGGACTATGTGTATTGTGGTTAGCACTTGTTAGACAATTTCAACCGTGTGGTTCATTGAATCCAGCCGCTTATGGATTCTATGGTATGTCATTAACATTTTTGTAACTGGTGAAGATTACTGTTTTTTAGGTGGATGGCATATATATTTATTTTGTTTCTATTTTTATTTTTGATTACAGCTTGATTACACACCGTATTTTTGGTACAGGTATGGAATTTTCAGCAGGTGATATCGGTAGCCTAAATTTTGCAGGCCGACCATTGATATCAGGTGTGCGTCGGCAGGGGATCGAACCCCGGACCATGTGCATGGTCGGCGAGAGTCACTGTGCCACCGACACACAAGTATGTTTATTTAAATGAGGCTATGTAAGTGCGCTGTTAGGATTAACCTATACGTATACAACTTACAGTCTAATCAACCAGCGTCATTAAGTTCCACTTCTTTTGTTTTTGTTCTCATAAAAACTCTTGAACCAGTAGATTCAAAGAATTTGGTTAAATTGTTTTGGAGGAACTCCAGTAATTCATGTATTATTCCTCTTTACTCGCCTAACCGATGGCTGCTACCTTGAGGTGCAGGTCAGGCTTACATGTCACAATGACCCAAAGAGCTACACTGGCACAGCGGTTAGGGCTCTCGCCGACCATGCACACGGTCCGGGTTCGACCTCCTGCCGTCGCACACCTATATCAATGGTCGGCCTGTAAAATTTGGGCTACCGATATCACATGCTGAAAATTTCATACTTGCACCTAAAATATGGCGTGGAATCAAGCTGTAATCAAAATAAATAAAAAAAATAATATTTCAGCAGGTCCTATCATAATAGAAAATGACTAAAGTAAAAACAGTTGCTGTCATAGTAAAGGTCATTTACACTATGTAGGGGATCTGTGAGCGAAGTATTGGCAAATCGGTATTTTCTTCAGATGACCCACAAGTCAGCTTTGCAGCATCTGAAGAGAAGAGGTGTTAATAAAGGTTGACCCCAAAGACTGTGCACACCAGCCTACCTTGTGGCAGTCCATAGCCGGTGGTAAGATCTTAAAAAAAGTCGTGTGACTGGTGTCAAGTAGTTTTCCCTTGGATTCTGTGGTTGCCCAACACCAATGCTGCTTCTATTTTGGGTATTCCAAGAAGAAATCAACTCCCACGGTGTAGGCAGCCAGAAAGCAATAACCTCCCACGGACTTTCATAAACACACAAAGATTTTGTGATCACCACTTACCCTTTTTTAATTGTATACAGAAAAGCAAGCACGAGGCCACTATCGTTTCGATTTTAATCGGTTTCCTTTAGCTACTGATTTGGTGTCGTTAACAACTTTGTTTATATTTATGAAATGCATTCTGCATTACAATTATCACCGAACAGTGCATAAGTTCTAGTTGGATTTCGACTGCCTCATCCGAACTGATAGATGCTAGAAGACTTATTCCAGAGAGCTCCGAATTCAATGAGGAGCGAAAGCTGCACAAAAGGAAACTTACGAAAAGTCTCCGCAAGGACCGTGAACAGTGGTGGGTGACAAAGGCGAAAGAGATGGAAAAAGCATCGGCGATAGGCAACACTAGGCAACTCTTTAGACTCATCAGGGAAACGGGAGGGAGAAGGCAAATCATAAGTGAGACTATTTCTGAGAAAAATGGCTCCTTAATTAGCTCTCAGGATAGACGCCTTGAACGCTGGAAAGAACACTTTGAGGGACAATTTAACTTGCCTACAGCCACACTGAACCTCCCCGACATCCACCACACCCGAATGGGATATAGACACTGGTCCGCCGTCTGTAAGTGAGGTCACAAAAGCTATCAGTAATTTGAAACGAGGCAAAGCGGCAGGACCCGACGGAATTATTCCGGAGGTGTTTAAATATGGGGGTGACATACTAGTTTGTAGATTAACTGAGGTACTAGGCAAAGTCTGGGAATCAGAGACAGTTCCATCAGACTGGGGTAAGTCACTTATTATACCGATATTCAAGAAGGGAAACAAGTCCTCGTGTGATAATCATAGGGGGATCAGCCTAACGAACATAGTCTCTAAAATCCTAGGCTCAGTAATCATGCATAGACTAAGCAGAACTCGGGAGGAACAGACAAGGGAAAATCAAGCAGGCTTTAGACCAGGTAGAGGGTGCATAGATCATATCTTCACTCTTCGACAGATTCTAGAACATAGACACACTTTTCGGCGTCCAACAATTGTCATATTTCTTGACTTGAAGGCGGCCTTCGACTCCGTGGATCGAAAGGTACTATGGCAATGTCTGACTGTGAAGGGAGTGCCAAGAAAGTACATTGCACTAATCAAGGCACTCTATTCAAACTCACGTAGTCGTGTAAGGGCTTATGGGGAATTGTCATCTGAATTGGTAACAACCAGTGGTGTCCGACAGGGATGTCCACTTTCCCCATTTCTGTTTAACTTCATCATAGATATGCTGATGGAAGTATCCTTAACTGAACGTAACGACTTAGGAATCGACTTGTTACCAGGGAATAGTCTTATGGACTTAGAATATGCAGATGACATAGTCCTGTTAGGGGAGGATGCTGACAAAATGCAGAGTCTTCTGAACACCTTGAGCAGCAATCTTCGTATGTTTGGCATGCGATTCGCCCCTGCAAAATGTAAGATGCTGCTACCAGGACTGGACCACGTCAACTCCTATCTTAGTGATAGGGAGTGAAGTGATAGAACATGTTGACCACTTCACCTATTTGGGAAGTTGTATTAGCGCCAACGGACTGATTGGCGACGAAATCTCAGCAGGGATCCAAAAGGCTCGAGCTGCTTTCGCTGACTTACACCATCTCTGGCGTAGGCGTGACATCCGGCTATCAACCAAGGGACGTGTGTACTGCTCAGCAGTTCTCTCCGTCCTTCTCTATGGCTCTGAAACATGGCCAATACGCGTTGAAGACATGAAAAGGTTGACTGCTTTCGATCATAGATGTCTACGATCTCTGTCTCACGTTAGGTGGTTTCACAAGGTAAGTAATGTTGACGTTAGGCGTAGAGTGTTGGGCAAAGAGGGAAAATCAATCGACGAGGCTATAAAGTTACGTAGATTGAGATGGCTAGGTCACGTGGTGCGCATGCCTAACCATCGCCTTTCCCGACGGGCATTGCTAGCTGATATAGGTGCAGGTTGGAAAAGGGTAAGTGGTGGCCAAACGAAAACTTGGCATCAATCCATGAAATCCTTGACAGTTAAACTGAGTCAGGTAGGTGGGGAGATGCAGACTTCCGGGTTGGGGCCCTCGGGACTCTAAGAATCAATGGCTGGAGACAATAGGTGACATGGCTCAAAATCGTTGTCAATGGCCAGCGCAGATGTATTCAGTCTCTGTAATCTTTCATATTCCTTTCTACCATTACCCATTCTGTTTCACTCTTATACTTGTCAAACTCTATTGATTCTCTTCACTCATCTTCTTGTCTACCTTTGTGTGCTATTTGGAAGGTGGCAACTCGAACTGGTGCACTTCGGTGCCATGTTCTATGTTGAATCCAGACATACAGACAGAAGTTCTAGTTCACATTTCTCAACTGCACCGATAAAGAAAGCAAGCAGAAATCGTGCGACCGAATAGCTCAATGGTAGCGTTTCTGATTGCAGTACCGGTTGACCCAGGTTCAGATCGCAAAGTTGACAGACAGAATTCAGCCTGCATCGAACGAAGGATTAGACTCATGACATTAGTTACGACATAGTGTCCAGTTAAAGAAATACATTTTTCTAAGAATAATATATCGAAAAGATTTAAGTTTTATCGCATCGAATGTTGAACATACACAATAGTTTATGAATCACATTTGATGGGCAGTCCTACGGGTTTCGTTAGATCATATATTTCATCAGTATATAAGAATATTACTATAAAACTGTAATAAGTTATTTCTTTTTAATTCATGAAAAATTCCCATTCGAACATTAATAGACAAAAGACCAGTAGTTCAGCGAAGAGTCTCTTTTCACCAGCGAATTCATTTTCATAGCTGTACAATCCCAGATATATGCGTGGTTGTTTTGTATGTGTGTATACATTAAATTTGTCAAACGAAAATACAGTTAGTAAGTTCCGATGAATTGGATGTTGATATAATAGGATAGTAACAAAAGTGATGAGTTGTCATAAATGATTCTTAAACAAGAGTTATGTGATGATGTGAATAGTTTGACGAAAGAGTTGTGCTCAGGGTGTACATGGAAACAAAATAATATACAGAATTACACAAGAGTTTTAAGTAGTTAGAAAAATAAGCATACAAACAAAAGTTAAGTCAAATCAACGGAGTTGTTACCATGAGAGTAGAAGTGGTTGAATAATTTTCTTTTGTATGCACAGTTCTGGTTCCTCCAACTGAATGGCTAGGACTTCTGTGATCCATAGAAGACGGAATCGTACTGTCTTTGGAAGGTTGTTCTTCACTTTGTAGATTACTTTGAAGCAGGAGGCGTTTGTTGAGATGTGATACATGTTAACATTACATGACATAGCTGATGAATATCAACGGTTGATTAATTTGCAGAAAGACACACACCTGGTCGAATCAACAACTTCGAGAAGCTCTGATATTCATGCATTACGAAAGAGCGAAACTCTCTCATCATCCACTCCTGACCCACCTTCTCCTAAGGTTCCGCGTAAATCTACACATACTCATCCAACCTCACGAAGTACTGCAAAGAAGACCCCACCATCACCATGCTGGCATTGTGGCGCGTGGCACTTTGTAAAGTCTTGTCCATACAAAAATCATCGTTGCAGCAAGTGCAAAATCATCGGTCATAAAAATGGTTTTTGTCAGCCACGCAAACTCAGATATCATAATCCAGCGAAAGCTCGGCAAACTGTTGGTCCTAAATCTCCAAGGAGATCATTGAGTCTACGCGCAACCTGTCAAGTCACAACACCAGCTATGCGGAAATATCTTGATCTTCAGATGAATGGTCATGATACACGTCTGCAGCTAGATACCGCCTCTGGTATTACTGTTATATCAGAGAAAATTTGGAATACTATTGGCAGACCACCTATCACAAATACTTCCGAGACTCTTTTCAGCGCCTGTGGTGGGCGGCTCAAACTAATTGGTGAACTCAAATGTTCTGTTTCCTTCTGCAATATCAAATTCACGGGAATTTGTTACGTCACCAAGAGTGATTTAAATCTTTTGGGACTTGATTGGTTCGATCGTTTACATCTGGCTGATGTCCCACTTAGTTCTGTATGCAACGCAGTTAACCTCATCGACAATGCTATTCGATCTCTACCAGTAACGTTTGCAGAAATCCAGCGAACTACAAGCACCGATGCCACCTTAAGACGTGCTACACAGTATGTATCCAGTAATTGGCCGAAGATTAAATATAGTGGAGACCTAAAACACCTGTTTGCTCGTCGTGATTCCTTATGTGTTGTAAAAGATTGCTTGATGATTGGAGAACGCGTAGTGATACGTGAAGCATTACGAAATAAACTCCTGAAACAGTTTCACATGGGACATCCTGGTATTCAGCGGATGAAGAGTATTGCTCACAGCTACGCATACTGGCCTAATATGGATAAGCATATTATCGACTTTGTTCAACGATGTTCAAAATGTCAACAATCAGCAAAGCTACCCCACTAGCTACCTCCCGTACCGTGGCCTCCAGCATCCCATCCTTGGTCCAGAATTCATATTGATTTTGCTGGCCCTACAAATGGTGCATACTATTTAGTGGTGGTAGTCGCTTTTTCTGAGTGGCCAGAAGTTATACCAGTGGTTTCGCCGACAACGTCCCAGACTCTCAAAGCTCTCACTGACATATTCTCCCATCATGGTCTCCCAGAAACCATAGTTACAGACAATGGTTCGCAGTTTACCTCTCATCAGTTTCAGCAGTTCTGTCGTCAAAATGCTATCGAGCATATGTTCATACCGCCGTATCATCCTCAGTCAAACGGCCAAGCGGAACGTTTTGTCGACACTTTGAAGAGAGCCTTACTCAAAGCAGAGGGAGAGGGGACACCATTTGACATCATCCAAAAATTCTTGATGGTGTTTTTGTACAACGGCGAATGAGTCAACACAGAACAAGAAATTGCCGGCAGAAATTCTTTACGGACGCAGACTTAGAACGATTCACAACTCACTGCTACCACCGACACCCAAACGTGCCGACGCATCATTTCGGAATGGAAAAAAATTTGATGTTGGTGACCCTATCTATGTCCGCGACTATCGAGCAGGACATAAACCTTGGAATAAAGGTTCCATCACAGCACGACGTGGTCGACTTATGTACGACGTGAAAGTTGGTAGTGATTTATGGACCCGTCACTACAATCAGTTGCGTCCAAGAAGCTCAAATATCCATAGCAGTACAAAGTCATCTCTACCTCTGGATATTCTCTTGGATACTTTTAACTTACCAACGACCGACAAAACAGAAAAGCGAAATGACGCAGCTTAGACAACTCCAGACAAAGCAGAACCTCCTAACCCAACAAGCAGACGAAGCAACAGACGTCGACAACAAACTCAGCGGTTCAAGATAACCCTAAGAAAACACGCTAATAACCATCAATCTTCTCAAAAGGGGAGGTGATATGTATCCACATAATGTGTGTGTTTTGTTTGACAGTCTGTTATATTTTGGTATGTGCATATGGATCGATATTCCATTATAATTAGCCAATCATGTTAAGACTGTCTATTGATTTGTTCATTTTGAATATTCGCTCACACACTTTCGGACATTCATATATTTTGCTCTCACACACTTGTGTGACTTTGATTCTCCTTGTGTTTGGAAAATAGAAGTATCATCGCAAACCTAGTGGTCTTCTGATTTCCGTCTTTCTTGCGTCAGGACTAATAAATTCTCGACCAATACATAACAATAATTTGGTGACGAGTACATAATAAGATGGAATGACCAGTGGTAGGTAACGAGATGTTCGATTTGTTGCACTCCTTATATGGCCACTACTTCCTTTCTGCAGCTACGCTGGATAGTAAGTATTCTTCGACCCTTTTTGACAGGATGCTCGTTGAACAACCGATGTATCTGGCTCCACAGCAACAGGTGAATTGGTATATACACATAGTAGTGGTCAGGTGCGGGATATTATCCTTTGTGCTTCTGTAGATCAGTGGGCGACTGGAGAACGCTACTCTGAATGTTGCCGCAAGGAAAGTTCTTCTTAAAGAGGTGGAAATTCTTCTGAGGACGTCACTGAGTAGGTCTCCTTTGAAGTCGAGGTTCATATGAAGTATCGCTTGCTTTTGGATTTTTTGTTTAATGTTTTTGTCTACGAATCTTGACGGGTAACCGTTTTGTATGAAGATTTCTCTCAGGAGGTTTAGTTCTTCTTCCATGGTTTCAGAGCTGTAGATGCGTCTGAAGCCAGTGGCAAGAGATCTAATTAGGTTTCTTTTTTTTGTTTCTTGTTTTGTTTTTATTTCTTTTTGTTTAATGGAATTAATTTCACAGTAATATTTTGTAGCTGTATGTTGTATTGTATTAGATGAAAACATGACATCCAAGGTGGCTTGCTAGTTTCAATTTTTTAAAATCCTCCCTTATCTTCTTAAATATCTTCTGCTCACTTGTTCAAATATACGTATCTATTTTTTTAATAACACTGACTATCTGTTTATTGTTTTCAGGTGATACCTTAAAAACTAATTCATATGATTTTGCTAGTCGATTAATTGAAAAAGCTGCTAATGTGAATTATAGATTCACTGATATGCCTGCTTCCTGTTTGATTGATGAGTCGGCTAAGACACCGCTTCCAGGCGATACTTTACTCATGGCTACTGCACGAGTTAGTTGGGAATCAGCTGGTTTATTTCTACTGAGTCAACCAGAATGTGATCCAACTTTAGAATCATTGTCTACTCAAGGAGAAACAGTTTTTCATATTGCAGTTGAATCTGAACTTTTTAATCTTTGTAATCAGTTGGCTGTTCGAAAGGACATTAATCCTAATCAATTACGTTTTTCCAAAGTTAATATAGTAGAAAAAAATTCTGAGGTAGGTGCGTGTTTTGTGTGACTTTTATTACGTAACGTTTTAACATAAATAGATATCTTCAACATTTTGAAACTATTCTAATGTTGTTTCAATTAATATGAGCTAAGTTTTAGAAAGATGGATTCACTATATCTTCCAAATATTAGGAACTAGTTATAAGCCTATATTCTTGTGGACATTTTATGCTATTCCATTAAGTATTTTAATTAAAATTTAACTTTTGATACACCACCTTGTTCGAATACCAGTAGAAATCCTATTATATTAGATACGTAATTCACTTCTGTCAAATTTAAGGTGGTGCTGTAAGACTAGTTGGTCTATACTGGCTCCCAGACTAAAGATAAGGAGGGTAATAGTTGGGCGTGATGACCACTTGACTTATCTGGTAAGTTGCATGCGTTGTAGTGAACTGATCACTGACGAAATATCAGAAAGGGCTAGCCAACTTACATCATCTGTGGTGTAGACGTTGATATCTAGCTCTATCAGTCAAAGGAGGTATATACTATGCAGCGATCCAATCTGTCCTCCTTTACGGCTGTGAGAAATGACCATTGCAAGTGAACAATATGGAAAGGCTAGTTGTAGATATGATAGAGAAGATTTGTAGCTCAGGTGGATGATTTTGATGTGGTTGTGTTCTCTGAGCTGGATAGTTAATTTACGAAGCTTTCATCACCACACTAGGTGACATCTTCAGCGCATACTTCACTTTGAAGTGAGCTTTTATATTTCTCCACGAGTTTATCAATTATCTCTCCTGGTGACCTTGGATGTCATTGGTTGTTTTTGTGTGTTTTCACACCCTCTAGGTTACTTGTATTGGAACTGATTGTTTCTTTGACTTGAACTTTGACCCTTTGTGTGTGAAGTTTCTTTCTTATTGGTTGATAAATTTGTCTGTCTCGATGTGTCTATTGATTGATGATTCACTGGAATGCAAAGCTTCTAAAAATTCTCTAGCATTCTTGTTATTTCCTTTGTCTAATATTTGAACGTTGTTTCCCAGTCGAATTGATGTCCGTGGTTGTCTGTGTGTAGTGAAATGAGGGAGTGGATATCATGTCTTTTGACGGCTAGCTTATGTTCGTGGATACGAAGACGAAGGGGACGTCCACTTTGGCCAATATAGTGTTTTTCGCAGTTGTTACAATTTATTTTGTAGATGATGTTAATTTTATCTTCTTTCATTGTTGAGTCTTTTGGTTGACATAGAATTGAGTGGAGTGACTTTGTTGGTTTGTGTGCGACGTCAATTCCTAAAGGTTTGATGGGTCTTGTAGTAATTTCTGTGATATGCTTTATATATGGTAAGGTGATTATCTTTGTGCTTTCCTTGGGGGCTTTTGGTTTGCTAGGCTGGCTTGGGGGTATATGTCTTTTGATAAAATTCTGTGGATACCCATTCTTTTGGAAGATGTTCATGAGATATTTTTCTTCAGTTTTCCTTAAGGTGGGAGTGCTGCAATGAGTCCTGGTCCTCTTGAATAGTGTTTGTATGCAATTCCTTTTGTCTGTTATTGGATTGTTGCTGTTGTAATTCAGGATTTGTTCTGTGTGATATGATTTTCTATAAACCTGAGTTTCTAATTCCCTTGTGGGTTGTTCGCTTGACTAAGACGTCCAAAAATGGGATTTGGTTCTCGGATTCCTCTTCTCGACATCAAATTCTGGAGGTTTACCGGAGAAAGTATTATTCCATGAAGAGTAATATGTATTAAGCGAATTTAGAATGCTACAATGAGTGAATACATCTGCATCGTTGAGAATGGTTTTCAACCATGTCACCAACAGACTTACGAATCGACACTTCCTTACATGGCTTAAACTAACAGTTGAAACTTTTTTGGATTGTTCTCACGTTGTAATTTGATCACTCCTCACTCTTCTCCGGCCCGATGCAGCTTCATAAACACATCGATTGATCTTCTCTCATTACCTAACGCTCTACTTAATTATTAGTTATTATTGTATTTTTTTCTTTTCGGTTCCGAGTGAAACGCAGGGCTTCAAGTTTTTTGGTTTCTGAAGTTTCGGTATTAATTGTTTTCTTTTTACGGGGTAGGGTTGCTAGTCTCACACCCAATCTTCCCTCTTTACCAGGCTTATTACCAGCTAAGCGAGGGTTAGAAATGCGTCGGCCGAAGATCGAAACCCGGACCATGGGCATGGTTGGCGACTATCGACACTAACATCCTACACGTCACCTCAATATTACTGACTATATTACTTACCACTTGACATGGGAGATCTGTCTGTTTGTCTGTTTTAGACATAGAACTTTGCACCGATGTGCACCAGTTCAAGTCGCCACACTTCCTCCATGTAGCGCACAAAGCAAGAGAAGAAAGTAAAAGTGAATGCAAAATAGAGACAGTAGACAGGGATATGAGACAAAATGAAATTGTAATGTCGAAGAACAATATAGTTTCATTGGAAATTATAAGTTACAAAAAGTGGATGCATCTGCGCTAGCCATTGAGAACAATTTTCAGCCATATCACCGATTGTCTCCAGCTCTCATTGGTTTTTACCATGCCGAGGACCCCAACCAGGAAGTCTACTTCTTGGCTTAAACTAACTGTTGTGGATTTCATTGACTGATGAAGCCATGTTTTGGTTTGACCGCTGCTAGCAAGTTGAATCTAGAATACCAAAATAAGATTAGTGCTTAGCGTTATCAAATTTATTTTATTTTCAATCTCTTACAGATTTTAAATGGGACCACTTGTTCACAGCAAACAGATGAACCAAAAGTTTCTAAATCATTAAATCCCTTTGATGATGACTACGATGATTACAGTGATGGCGGTAACTCGTCACATGTACCACCGAGTAACTCTTTTCTGTGACGACATCACCATCATCATCATCAAATGGTATGAATGACAATACCAGGTCTACTGAACAACAACAGTTATACTGTAGCCCTTTACACTGGCAGTGGAGCATAAGATGTTTGAATTGATTGAATATTACCTTCAAGAAAAAGGTTTGTTGACTAATTTAGCAAAAAGATGACCAAATTTTTTTTAAGTTTTTCTAGTTTATTTGTAATAAGCGTTCTCTTTTGTGTCATGTTAATTATTGGATAGAGGATTTCATCTCGAGCTGACATCAGTTAGAGAACCACTGGAAAACCTGGGAGTACTGGACAGCTGTTTCGTCCTCGTTTGGAACGGGGTTCGAACCCAGGACCTTCTGGTTACAAGATGAGCTCGTATACCATTGAGCCACTGGGATCCGATCCAGTGGCCCATGAATTCTAAATTCTACTAATTCACGACATAGCGCGACCATTTCGCAAAGTTTTCTGCGATGAGTTACTGCCTCATCTTCAACCTGCTGTACCCTACTGGTCACGGCTTCCCACCAGAACCTCAGGTCACTGCCTGAATGTTAATAATGTTTTCCAGTTACTACTTTTTTTATCACTATAAATTTATGAGAATGGTTGGTAGATTAGTTATCATAATGTTAATTATAACATTTTAGGATTAGAAAAGGTCGACGCCATTCCGACTTACCTTGCGGTGAGTCTGTAGCCGTGGGTAAGATCTTAGTACAGATACAATTGCAAAGGCTACTTCAAGCAGTTATCCCTTTGGGCTTCATGGTCACTCATCATTAATACTCTTGTTTCAGGTAATTTAGAAAGAAATTAACATCCACTGTGTGGGCAGTCAGGAAGTAATAACTGTCCACAGACTTTTATAAACTTTCAAGGCTGTCATGTTTCCCTGGGTTTATGTAGTGTACTTGTCGCATTTACTGTATTCGCATAATTCTGTTTAATCTTTTTTTCATTGTTTTAAATATATTACTTAAATTCATCGTTATCTAATGGATTACTTTCTGTCCTGAGCGTCAAACAAGCAGACGGGTTCACCCTTCGCGTATATATATATATATATATATATATATTGATGAATTATCTTTAGACTTTGTCTCACCATATCTTGATTGTTTCTATTGTTATTGAGTTTATTTAAAAAACAAACAAACATTAGACTCATTTTCGATCATTGTACACCTTTACACACTTTTTAAACTCTACATATCACTGACTCTGGGTTTGTGGTAATTAAATTAAATTCAATGTAGGTTTTGTCCCAAATCAACATTATTTAGCTGATAATTAAGTGTTGGGGAGTGCTGGATAACTGTTTCGACCTCGTTTTGAACTCTTTGTCATTGCTTATAGATGGTGACACCATTCAGTCATTGGACTGAAATTCAATAGTCATCCCGACCAATAGCTGCTACCTTGACGTGGTGGTCGGGCTTGCACATCACGATGATCCAACAAGCTGCACTAGCTGGAACCAATGTTCTTGCAGATCCTATCATGCCAGGAAGGTTGTTAGGATACCGATTAGACTAAAAGCATTTAACGGCATTGTGTAAGAATCTTTCGTACACTATGCTGGGGGTCTGAGGGCGAAGTCGTACTGCTGGGGAACAGGGGTGTAACAGCAGTGAGGTGTTTTCCTCAGATGACCAGCATGCCAGCCAGCTATGCTGTCTTTCCAGTCCGGAGAGAGGGGGTTAGAAAAGGTAGACTCCAACAATTGTACATCCCGACTTACCCTACGGTGGTCCGTAACCGGCGGTAAGTTTACTAATACTGAACCAATCCCAGAAACCAGTTCATACAGGCCGTGTGTGACTGGCCGGTCTCAAGCAGTTGTCCCTTGGGCTCTGCGGTCACGCAACACTTTTTCTGTTTCAGGTACCCGAAGAATCAATCAACTTCCATGGTGTGGGCAGCCGGGAAGTAACAACCGCCCACACACTTTCAAAAGCACACGAAGCCTTCCTGATCCAGTCATAAGTGTGCACTTATGAGGAGTCCCAGACTAGAGTAAAACTAGTTTAAAATGCTACTTGGTTTTAGATAATTCCGTACCTGATGTTAGTTCGTGGCTGTTACAGTGTTGAATTATTTTAGTTGATATCTTGAACTGGCTATCGTGTTACTTTTTTTCATTGGCTTGTAAGTATAGAGCCTGAATTTTTATTTCATTCTTTTTGCGTTCTGAGTAGTGGAACAGATTACTTCAAACTATTGAAGTTTCAATAGCGGTGATGTTATTTGTACGGAGTAGATTCCTCCTTTTCCGGAATTACCATCAGCCAGTAAATCAGACAAAGTCGAGGAATGCGTCGGCCAGGAATCGAACCTTAGACTACGTATGTGTTTGGTGAAAATCCTACTATTGTCAATTGCATGTGTATATAAATATATGCAGTTGACAATGAACGATGCCTGCTTTGTGAAACTACCTAACTCCCCCAGACTGTCAGCAGGGGGAGTGAGATTTAAACCTGTGACCCTCTGGTTGAAAGTTGATTGTCTAACCCAACGAATCACATTTGCCTTTATAAAGTTTATCAAATTTCAGTGTGCACTATGCGGAAGTGATATTGATTGATGTGTTCCTATAACTTGGATTCCGAGTGGAATACAGGGCTTCACTAGAACATCTCCACTTTACTCTGTTCTCAATAGTCTTTACTTTACTTGGTTCCACGATTGCCCATAATCTTTCATCTCCTTATACGATCCCCTTCATGCCGTCCTCAGACACCTAAATCGCTGTTTCCCATTTGGGTATCATCTAGATAGTAGATAGCCTGGCGCGCGATGACACTCATCGGTCTTCTCAGCATATGTCCAATCTATCTCCATCTCCATCGGCATAGTTGTTAGGCGTTAAATTCTTGGTTGGTTCGTCCTGCCTAGTTCACTATCGCTTATCTTTTTAACCATCCAACCTTCAGTGTCGAGTGAAAACAGCTGTCGGCGAAAGTCTGCAATAGTCTTTTGCAAATGTGTGTCGTGACTCAAGAGTCAAAACACTGATCGACCTGACATTTGTGTTTGGGAATCCGGGTCGTTTTCCTTCTGGTGAGTGCAGTAGATTTATACAATGATTTCATAGTGATAAATGTATGTTTTGCCTTTCCAACCGTGACTTTGACACCCTCACCCATGTTTTATACCTCTAGTTGAAATGATACTACCCAAAGAAGTGATAGAAGTGACCTCGTTCCAATTTTTTCCTTTGATAGCTATTATTATTTGTAATTAATAGTGTTCTCTGAGCTGGTTGATTTAGTTGCGGAGCTTTCGTCGTCCACATTTCTAGACAACATTCCCCCTCAGCGAAATATTTGGCATAAAGTGAAATGGATTAAATTTTTCATGAATGATATAATTGCATCTCCCCCGTAATCATCTTTACATATGTATTGACCATTTTCTATTGACTTGGATTTTAAACTTTCTAGTCACATGATTTACTCTTTATTAGTTGGTGGTATATTTGGTCTATATTGACGTGTTTGTTAATTGCATACTCGTTTGAGCACCAGGCTTCTGGAAATTCCCTAACTGCACTTTTGGTGTTTCCGCTGTCTAAGATTTCGACATTATCCCAATCAAACTGATGTCCATAATTGTCTATATGCGTTGATATGAAACAAGAATATATATCGTGCCTTTTCACGGCTGATTTGTGTTCTTGGATTCTAATTCGAAGGGGACGCCCACTTTGGTTGATGTAATGCTTGTTACATTCAGTCCATGCAATTTATTTTGTAAATGGTATTAATTTTATCTGCTTTTTCTGTTGGATCTTTCTGTTTGCATAATATCGAATTAAGCGATTTAACTGGCTTATGTGCTATATCTATATCAAACGGTTTCATTATTCTAGCTGTTATTTCAGAGATTTTTCTCATGAATGGTAGGATGAATTTTCTTGTTGGTCTTTGATGATGGTTCCTTGTTGGTGTTGTGATTCGATTTTAAACACTTTTTGATGAAATTTTGTGGATCACTATTCTTTTTGAAGACCGTTTGTAGGTATTTTTCTTCAATTCTTTTCAACTGTGGAGCACTACAATGTGTTTGAACTCTTTTAAACAATGTCTGCACACAATATCTTTTGTGAGTGAGTAATTGGATTATTGCTAGTATAGTTGAGTATTTGATCTGTGTGCGTTGATTTTCTATATACTTGTGTTTGTAAATTTCCTGTGGTGGTTCTCCTGATTGAGACATCTAAAAGTGGGATTTATTAAAAATGTGATTATTATGTTTTTGATTACAGCTTGATTTCACACCGTATTTTTGGTACAAGCATGAAACTTTCTGTTATGCACTCGTCGAGTAGTTAATAGTCCTGATGCGGAAAGAGGGAAATCAAAAGACCACGAGGTTTACGATGATATTTGTATTTTCCAGACAAGGAAAATAAATGTCACACAAGTGTGTGAGTGGGAGGGTACTTAGTGTACGAAAACGTGAGAACAAGAATAATAAAGTGTACAATGCAAAGTATATATGAAAATGGATAATACATATAAAGCAATAAGGTAACATCTTACCATGATTGGCTGTAATGTCATGTGATAGTTAGTGAACAGACAAAAGCATATTGTCAATTATAATGAAATATCGATCCATATGCACATACCAAAATATAACAGACTGTCAAAAACAAAACACACATCATGTGGATACATATCACCTCCCTTTTGAGAAGATTGATGGTTATTAGCGTGTTTTCTTAGGGTTATCTTGAACCGCTGAGTTTGTTGTCGACGTCTGTTGCTTCGTCTGCTTGTTGGGTTAGGAGGTTCTGCTTTGTCTGGAGTTGTCTAAGCTGCGTCATTTCGCTTTTCTGTTTTGTCGGTCATTGGTAAGTTAAAAGTATCCAAGAGAATATCCAGAGGTAGAGATGACTTTGTACTGCTATAGATATTTGAGCTTCTTGGACGCAACTGATTGTAGTGACGGGTCCATAAAGCACTACCAACTTTCATGTCGTACATAACTCGACCACGTCGTGCTGCGATGGAACCTTTATTCCAAGGGTTACGTCCTGCTCGATAGTCGCGGACATAGATAGGGTCACTAACATCAAATTTTTTTCCATTCCGAAATGATGCGTCGGCACGTTTGGGTGTCGGTGGTAGCAGTGAGTTGTGAATCGTTCTAAGTCTGCGTCCGTAAAGAATTTCTGCCGGCAATTCCTTGTTCTGTGTTGACTCATTCGCCGTTGTACAAAAACACCATCAAGAATTTTTGGATGATGTCAAATGGTGTCCCTTCTCCCTTTGCTTTGAGTAAGACTCTCTTCAAAGTGTCGACAAAACGTTCCGCTTGGCCGTTTGACTGAGGATGATACGGCGGTGTGAACATATGCTCGATAGCATTTTGACGACAGAACTGCTGAAACTGATGAGAGGTAAACTGCGAACCATTGTCTGTAACTATGGTTTCTGGGAGACCATGATGGGAGAATATGTCAGTGAGAGCTTTGAGAGTCTGGGACGTTGTCGGCGAAACCACTGGTATAACTTCTGGCCACTCAGAAAAAGCGACTACCACCACTAAATAGTATGCACCATTTGTAGGGCCAGCGAAATCAATATGAATTCTGGACCAAGGATGGGATGCTGGAGGCCACGGTACGGGAGGTAGCTAGTGGGGTAGCTTTGCTGATTGTTGACATTTTGAACATCGTTGAACAAAGTCGATAATATGCTTATCCATATTAGGCCAGTATGCGTAGCTGTGAGCAATACTCTTCATCCGCTGAATACCAGGATGTCCCATGTGAAACTGTTTCAGGAGTTTATTTCGTAATGCTTCACGTATCACTACGCGTTCTCCAATCATCAAGCAATCTTTTACAACACATAAGGAATCACGACGAGCAAACAGGTGTTTTAGGTCTCCACTATATTTAATCTTCGGCCAATTACTGGATACATACTGTGTAGCACGTCTTAAGGTGGCATCGGTGCTTGTAGTTCGCTGGATTTCTGCAAACGTTACTGGTAGAGATCGAATAGCATTGTCGATGAGGTTAACTGCGTTGCATACAGAACTAAGTGGGACATCAGCCAGATGTAAACGATCGAACCAATCAAGTCCCAAAAGATTTAAATCACTCTTGGTGACGTAACAAATTCCCGTGAATTTGATATTGCAGAAGGAAACTTAGGATTTCGTTCTAGCTGATTGAGCAGTCGAGTTCGGATATCTGTGAAACGAGGAGATTGAAGACTGCATATGAGAATCAAGGCTTTGAATTGATCATCTGTTAAGGACCTGAGTCGAAATCTCTCACATTCTCGGTTGACTGTGCCAATGTGAGTAAGAAAATCATCATCACTGCTAGTCACCATCCAGCAAATAAATTCTAATTATAAATGTCCAGACATCGTCGAAGCATCTGCACAAGAAGCCGAGCACTTCGGATCAGTCAATCGATGGGAAAATCTAAAATCCAATTAAGAGATATTGATTAGTGCTTGTTGTTGTTGTTGTCGTCCTCGGTGGTTGGGATTGGTACTTATCTTTTTTATACCTAATTTCAGTGATTTTTCACTGAGACTGGTTTTTATTGATTCCGTTTTATATAATAAGGCAACGTCGACTGGTTATTGCTGAATGAATCAGGCGAATCGGTTTTCAGTTTACTCTTATGGTCAGAACAATTTCAATTAGTTCATTCCGTGTTGCAACTTATGCACAATCAGTCAACAAATGTCTCAACTACAGCAAACATTGGATTTAATAAGTCAAATGAATCTATTAATTGGTTTCGTAATCTTATATTCTCAAATCATAGAAAGCATTCTTTACTGATTGAGGCTGTTGAACGTGGTCAATTAGAAGTGGTCAGGTTTCTAATCAAATATGGCGCTGATATTGATGAAAAGTAAGCACAACATTATTACTATTTTTTTTTTGTAATTATTAATCTTTTGTGTTCAATTTTTATCACGTTTTTAGTAAATGTTCTAGGTATATTCAGCAGATAATATACGCTGGTTTACAATTAGATCAGTACACCGTATACGTATATAAGGCTGTTAAACTCCTGGACTATTATTGTTTAGCTGTGTGCTGTAGGGTGAACCTGAGTGTATTTGAAATTTCTACCGAACAACAGACAACAATCAGCATAAATGAGAGGAACCTGGAAAAAACAACCTCCTTTACCTACCTGGGAAGCAACGTTTCAACTCCAGGCGGAACTGACGAGGATATCAAAGCCAGAATCGGAAAAGCAAGACAAGCTTTCATTACTCTCAAGTCTGTGTGGAGGTCGACATCACTCATCATCAAAAATAAGATGTGAATTTTCAACTCCAATGTGAAGTCAGTGCTACTATACGGATCAGAGGACTTGGCGCGTCACGAAAGGCACTTCGAACAAACAACAGACTTTCATCAACAGCTGTCTTTGCTTGATATTCAAGATCGGATGGCAGACCAGAAAAGATTAGCAATAGGGATATCTGGCAATGAGCGAACCAACCAGGAACCGATTGTGAAACAAATAGGCAGGAAGAAATGGAGGTAGATTGGCTATACTCTGAGAAATCAAACCATCAAGTGACACCATTAGACAAGCCATTGCTCGAGTGGAATCCGAAAGGGAAGCGGCGAGTTGGTTATCCAAGGGTGGTTTAGAGGAGGTCATGTGAAGAAGAGACGAATCATGTGGGCAGACTTGGAGCCAGGTGAAAACTCTAGCGGAGAACCGAACGCAATGGAGAGGTGCGGCTGAAGCCCCATGTTCCTCTAGGAATTAAAGGAAATAATAATAATACTAAGGGGTTGGTTGTGGGTGTTCATTCTGGATGGGAGGTGGAATGGACGGGGATAGATGGGAAGTGAAAGCATAGGAAATATCCAACGACGGTGAGAAGGGATTTGGTTAAGTAGGATTTGTGATGTGTTTTCATGTCAAATCAGCGTTTCTCTATATATGGTTCAGAGATTTGGCGAGCGTCTGTCTGTCTGTTTTCGAAATACAACTTTGCACCGATGTGCACCAGTTCAAGTCGTCATACTCCCTCCATGTAGCACACAAAGCCTGAAAAGAAAGTAGAAGAAATGCATAATAGAGACAGTAAACAAAGGTGTGAGACAAAGGAATAGTAATAACAAAGAACAAAACAGTTTCATTGGAAATCATAGGTGACAAGGAGTGGATGCATCCGCGCTGCCATTGAGAACGATCACTTTGAGCCATATCACCAATTGTTTCCAGCCTCCATTGGCTTTTACCGTCCCGAGGACCCCAACCGATCAGGAAGTCTACACCCTCCTACGTGTCTGGCTTAAACTAACTGTTGTGGATTTGATTGACTGGTGCCATGTTTTGGTTTGACCCTATGTCAACTAACATTGCCGTTGTGGAGGAAGGCGATGACTAGTCATACGCAATACATGCCCTAACCATCTCAATCGGTGTAATGTCACTGCCCTATCGATTGATTTCCCCTCCTTACCTAGCACTCGACTGATGCCTAACCTCAATATTACTCACCTTATTATACCGCCTAACACACACGGGAGATAGAACGCAGGCACATATGATAAAAGACAGCTAATCTTCTCATGTCTTCCACTCTCAGTGGCAATGTCTCATTGACAGCCATAAAGGAGGACAGAGCGGGCTGATGAGCAGTACACATGGCCTTTGGTCGATAGCCAATGGGATATCACGTCCACGTCAGAGACGTAGACGAGTGAGCGTCAACAATAGATGCCTTCTCTCAAAATGGAAGATTAAATGGACAGCGAGAGATGTGATAAACAACGAAGAACCGTGACAGTGCAGGAAACCATTCGAGAGCCTGTTCGCCAACAGGTAGGTGTGCAGAAGTATAGGATTGAAAAGAAACGTCAAAGCACAGAAAAATGATAGATTAATCGTGATTTCATCATAGGAAAATTATTCATTCAAACATCTATAAAACGCAAAAAATAAGAATGTCCTTTTCGATAAATTCGTCTTCTGGCTCTACAATTATATATATGTTTATATATACAGAATATTCTAGATTAGTAGTTAATAACAATATCAGTGTTTTTTAAATACTATCGATTTGTAAAGTATGATCAGTGGAATTACAGTCCATTAAAGATGCTTAAAATACAATAATAATAATAGTAATAATAAAGATATAGTAGCAAATAGAATATTACGACCTCTTCGGAGGAATTCATTATAGTATCGCTACTTCATACATCAGATTCATAACTGACTGTGCATAAAGTTTGCCTTTTAAACAGTTGCGACAACACAGCGCTCTTATAATTCCGTTCTCATTTCGAATAGATGCATAGACCAGTTGATATGCAGGTATATAGACACACCTGTTTTCCTCCGACTATTGCCTCTCTTTGTAACTGAATTGTAAAATTGATTAATTCTTACCTATGCGTTACTTTAGATGCCGTTGTTGTCTACGGTATAGTAGAAATGTGGCCCACTACCTTAAGAACTTGATTGTTAGAATATGGGCCCCGGGTTTGAATCTCACTCCACCTATTTCAGCCTGGAGAACTGGGTAGTGCTATTGTAACAACAGAATACAACGGCCAGGCAACAGATCGTTGATTAAGGAAATCACATATTTATAGATTTTCATGTACACTAATATAGATTATTGTCAGCAAACAAACACAGTCTTCTGATTGGTTGTTTCTCACTGAAAGTTAACCTTTCATCTCTTTGTGGATGTTTCGTGAACATCAGGTCATCTATCTGCTAATTGCATCTGCCTACGCAAAGTCTGCTGTGATTGATTGTTGAGTCACTCTGTGTTCTTGTTTTCACATGACCAATATTTAGGACATAAACATTGACGTGGATTACTGTCTACCTATGGTGAAAGCAGGCTGCTAGCCAATTGGTAGACATTAATTTACATCAATGTTTATGTCGCAAATGTTGGTCGTGAGAAAATACGAACAAGACTGATTCAACATTCAATCACAGCAGACTTTGCGTAGACAGATACAGTTAACATATAGATGATCTGATATTCAAGAAACAGTTACAAAGAGAAGCAAGGTCAACTTTCTGTGAGAAACAACCAATCAGAAGAGTGTGTTTGTTTGCTTGAATAAGCTATAATAATGTACATGAAAGTACATAAATACGTGTTGATTTCCTTAATAAACGATCTGTTGCCTGGCCCTTGTCTTCTGTTGTTACATACCAATTTGGCTGTCAGCCAGCCCTCACCACACTGTTACCCCTGACCACAATAGGTGTGGAAATGAGTAGAATAGAATAGCTGGACTGTCAACGGTACAAGAAAATTACAATAACAACCATAATAATCTTGGGCGTCGGTGGCACAGTGGTTAGGACTCTCGCCGACCATGCACATGGTCCGGGGTTTGAGCCCACGCCGACGCACACCTTGATATCTATGGTTGGCCTGCGAAATTTGGGCTACCGATATCCATGCTGAAAATTCCATACTTGTACCAAAAATACAGTGTGGAATCAAGCTGTAATCAAAAATAAAAAAATAAATAAAAAATAAATGAACAATGTATTGTATGCTAACTGGAGTTTACTTGATCTAACCACTTTTCTCATTTTTAATAATACCTTTTTTACAAGGTCATTCAACGGTGATAACTTTCGGGAATTTGTAAACCCTTTATGGACTGCTTTGAAACTACGGAAATTGGAAATAGCTGAGTATTTAGTAAGCACTAAAGTTTTGTTTTTTTGTGTGACTGTAAAAAGTGTTTTTGTTTACGCTTTTGTTTTTTCATTCCTTTAACGTTCCGAATCGAACGTTGAACTCCAAGCTTTCAGGCTTTGAAGTTTCGATAGCTTTGGAGTTGTTTTTACTGGGTGTGGGTTGGTGGATTCAGGCCTAACCTTCCCTCTTTACTGGATTTACCGTCGGCTAATCGAGGTTTAGGAGTTTATAAAACACAAAATAATTGAGCGAAGAATATCCTTCCCTATAATTCCCTCTTCTGGCTCTACAATAATAATAATAATAATAATAATAATGGTAAAGCTTTATTTAAGGCAGTATGCGAATATACGGTACAAAAATTTTCAGCGTATTCAGTTCCAAAGTACTTTTTTCTTCACACAGGATTCACATGTAAATTAATAATCTGAAGTATATCTTATTTTGTTGAAGAATTGTACAGCGTTTACTTGTGAGCAAGTTAAATCATCACGCAAGTTTATGTATAGGTCATTTGATATAACTGGACGATTAAAACAATGATAAATCCAGATGAAATTAGGCATTTTGGAGGAAAGTAATTTCGGTGACCCAATGATTTAAACAGGCCGCCTTATATATATGTTTATATACACAGAATATTCTAGATTAGTAGTTAATAACAATATCAGTGTTTTTTAAATACTATCGATTTGTAAAGTATGATCAGTGGAATTACAGTCCATTAAAGATGCTTAAAATATAATAATAATAATAATAATAAAGATACGGTAGCAAATAGAATACCAACCAAAATTAGGAAAATTCCACAAAAATTCAGGATCATTCAAACGTAGATGGCCAAGCGGGTAAGGATAATGTCTGAACTAACTTCTTTTGGGTGCACAAATTAGGTTTGTTAATATGAATCACAACGGCCAGCCTCAGCAACACTTAGTAGTCGAACTCTTAAGGCAAAATTGAGATTCGTAGGTATGCGGTAAATGACCGTAAAAGCATGGTTAACGTCAGTCTTGTGTTCTGTCTCCACAAGACGAGACAGAATAGCGCTGTGAATAGATTTTGTCTATCCTTTGCTTAACCACCGGTGCAGGCAGGGTGATGTTCGGAAATTCGACGAGGAACACGCCTAGTTGTACGGCCTATGTAACTGGCTCACTCCACAGAGCAGTTAAATTAGTGGATACACATGAAGAAGGCGAAATTAGGCAGTTTGTCTTATACTCCTGAACGTAGAAGAGGAGTGGTTTTGGAAACAATGTAATTCGGCAGCAGGGAATGCTCTTTTTACCTCATTTCTGGGGTACTGTGTTAATATCTCGCTGGTGTTGTCTCCAAGGAACTGCATCTGAAAGAATAAGTCCGTTTTTGGAACTGTTGGTAATTTGGGCTGCTTTGATTTGAAATTCATATTCTTATCAATGAACTTTTCTGGATAACCATTTTCACTTAGCAACCGTTTAATATTATTCAGTTCTTCATCAAGACATTCGTCCGAGCAAATCGCTCTTGCTCTGTGAACCAAGCACTTTATCAAATTGCGTTTGTATTTTAAGGGCGCGAAGCTGAAAAAATGAGTATACTATTATTCCGCCTTCTTTTCTGATCATAAGGACGTCTAGAAGTGAAATACTGGGGTCTTTTTCTTTCTCAATAGTAATTTATTACTAACGTCTTTCAAAGGCCCATTTTCTAGTTTCCCAAGGAAGTGTCGGCTAAAATGTGTCCTAGTGGTGACCCCATCGCTACACCGTCGATTTGTCTATATAGTTCCTTATTAAATAAAGAGGGGACATTCATTGTACATTTCAAGAGAAGCTCTTTCATAAAAGATATAGGAATACCAACATCGATGTGTCGTCTTATGAATTCTTCGCATACAAAGTCCACTGTTTCCATTAGTGGTACATTAGTGAATAATGAAGAAACGTCAACAAATCATATCGTGAATTTATTGTCAACCTTTAAACCTTTTATCCTTTCAACAAATCCAAAAGTATCCTTTACAGCACTGTGTTTCACCAACTCCGTATGAAGAGGCTGTAAGAGTTCGACTAATCGTTTGGCTACAGGTTGGTATGTTGAATTTAACATATCTAATACTGGTCGTCGAAGCGGCACACCATTTTTGTGCACTTTTGGCTAGGAATCGAGCCGAGACGACTTGTATGGTTGATGAGTATTCATTCTACCACTGCACCGTTGACATACTGGTTTGCATTTTCTAATTTTATTTTCATGATTCAAACTGTAGGCCAGAAGTTGGAAGTGCTTCTGGTGATGCATGAGACAAGTCTCTGAAGTATATAAGAAAACTGACTTGACATTAGGGTTGAATATCCTGATCTGGGTCCTCATTGTGAGTATATTAGATTTCCACATTGATATCAAAGTAATGAGGGTCTGAAGGGACTTTCTTGTTCATTTTTTCCTTTTATCCCCTTTCCATTTTCTCTCCGTAAACCAGACATTGTAAACATGTTTATTTGGAGAGTAAGTTAATTTTGTATTCCTCGTTGTTTGACCAAAATGTGGCGAAGTTAAACTTTCGACACCACTAACTACCAATCAGCGAATTATCCAATGAGATTCACGAACGATGTCGAATTATCCAATGAGGTTCACGAACGCAGTTCAATGTTATTTAGAGCTTGATTCATTTCCAATGCGTGACCTTACAAAGCTATTGTTGCAATTCAAGGAGGTTAGCGTTTTCCAGTATTTCCTGGATTTGAGTTGCGCCGGAAAGAGCGAATTTGTTTGTGTGGTGGTATCATGACTTTAAAAAGTTATACCAAATCAACTGATGGGTTTGTTCATCGTTGTGCTATATGTTTGAAGCCTACTAACGCTAGAAAGAGTAAGCTGATAATTTTAATATTTCGTAGGAACTTTTTTCGCTAGGTCGCTTCTCTCCCTAAGGATAGCAGATAGAAAAGCAACTACTCTTATACCTATTATTACCAGACTTATTAAGCGGGGGTCAATTATACACACGGACGAGTGGAAAGGCTACAATTCACTGTCATCTCTGGGATATATTCATCATAGAGTCAACCATTCAAGTGATTTTGTGGATCCCGTTACGAGGACACATACAAATTCTATTGAAGGATTTTGGGGCAGGTTGAAAAATAGGATAAGGGCTATAAATGGATCTCATTTATGGTCATTTGGATGAATATATGTACAGGATAGGGTGTAACTTCTCCATTGACGGTCCCATGCTAAACTGGGAGATGTTTCTCTCACATGTTCGAGAAAGATATCCCATGTAACTTTTTTATTCTCTATTTTATGCTTTTTTCTACAAATATACATTTCCATTCATCATATATGCCTCTTTAATGTGACTGGTCCGTTCAAGGTCGTTTGCTGATTGGTTGTCAGTGGTGTCGAAAGTTTAACTTTGCCCAAAATGTCTAGTTCCTGTTAGCATCATATCGGCTCTTAAAACAAACACTTTGACTATATATGTCTGATAATTAACACGATGACGTCATTTAATTGACGGTGACTAGCAGTGTGGAATCCACGATGCGCTTATTTCTCCTACTTGGGACTCGTCAACAATCATCCCCAGTGAATGATGACATTCTCACTGAGACTCGAGCCGATCATGCTTTGTTTCAAACAGAAAAGCGTTATCCATTAGGCCATATGTTTATTCAAGGTGTGTACATATGAAAAACTAACAATGCCAAAACTTATCACCACTAAATTGACAAAAGTTTACATTAATTATTCTATGTACACGTATACACAGAGTTTATGTGTATAGCTCTGTAGTAATTTGTTTAACTGAATATATACTACACATAATTGAACAGTACTATTAGTATTTAGTGGATACCGAACTGTCGAACACAATATATCACTGTTCATGATGACCGTATCATCAATTATAACTATACAATTTCAAAACTCGCATCCGCAGTCCTAGTTCTTCTTTCTCATTCCTCATAAGAGCAGTAGCAGTTTCCAGAAGTTTAGGATAACTGTTGAGTCATTCCTATCGCACATATATCACCTTGCCAAAGTGACAGTGTTAAAATCAGATCTAACATGATGGAGGAAGGATAGCGGAATTTCCCAAGTGTCCGATAGAGCCGTGTTGTATGTATTCTCAATTCATCCAACAAATAAAGTTTCAAGTGTTGGTTTGTAGGAATTTGATTGGTTACAGGATTTCATCATGAGCTGACATTAGTTAGAGAACCATTTGAAAACCTGAAGGGAGTACTGGACAGTTGTTTCGTCCTGGTTTGGGACTCTTCAACAGTACGCACCCTCCGGGGTTTGAACCCAAGACCTTCTGGTTACAAGGTCAAATACTCGCCGAAGACATTGGCTAGGAGTCGCGCTATGTTGGGAATTGGCAGAAGTTAGAATTCATGGGCTGGCCATTGGATCGGGTCCCAGTGGCCTGATGGTATATGAGTTCGCCTTGTAACCAGAAGGTCCTGGTTTCGAACCCCGGTGAGCGCATACTGATGAAGAGTCCCAAATTAGGACTGAGGAAACAGCTGTCCAGTACTCCCAGATTTTCCAATGGTTCTCTAACTAATGTCAGCTCATGATGAAATGAAATTTCATTTATCAATCTGTCTTCCTTCACCTTGTTATATTAGATTGTAATACTGTCACTTTGTCCCATCCAATTTTATGATCGTATTTAACTGTGTTCAGTTTTATAGCTGAGCTTTTTCTCTAGATTTCTTATTTCAGCGGGGTGTACTAATCTGAGTTTATTCAAGATTTTGTACTGTTCTAGCCAAATCGTTCCAGGACATTAAATAGACTAAATTATTTTATGTAATAATTTCCTCTGGATTCTTTTACAGATATAATTTGTTTCCCTTAGTGATTTTGTGAGTGATTGGATGCCGCTTGTTTAGATCTCCACGTTGGGTTTCAGAGGTACCCTCTCAACTTAGTGTGTGTGTGTGTACAGAACTACGTAAGAAAATAGTTTTAGAAATGCTTGTATAAGATGGAGA